CAATACTCTCAAGAAGTCCTGATAGAAAACGCTTTCTTAGTGCTGGGCATATAGCTCAGTTGGTAGAGTGCTTGCCTTGCACACACAAGGCCCTGGGTTCAATCTCCAGCACCATCACCAAAAAAAAAGAAAGAAAGAAAATGCTTTCTTAATCATCAAAATTACCTTTCATGCTGTGGCACATGTCTGTAATCCCAACTGCTTGGAAGGCTGAGGTAGGATAATCTCGAGTTCAAAGCTAGCCTCAGCAACTTAGTGAAGCCTTAAGCAACTCAGAGAGGCCCTGTCTCTAAATAAAATATTAAAAAGGGCTGGGGATGTGGCTCAGTGGTTAAATGTCCCTGGGTTCAATCCCTGGTAACAAAAACTAAATAAATAGATAGTTTTTCATATCCTCCAACCTGAAAAGGACAAAGTTATCAGACAATCCGAAGACTGAATTATTTGTGGATATAACTGACCTATTCAACTATGCTTTATGCCTTTATAGCATTTAGTAATCCACCCAAAACATTAAAGGAACATCACATTGATTCTACAAGTGAATGACTGAAAACACATGAGCCTCTTACCTACAAATCTGTATATAATAAATTCAGATCAAACTTTACTACTTGCTTTGTACCATAGTCTAATAAAAATTAAATATGTGAAGTAAAAGAAAAGATGGAGCCTGGCGCTATAACACGTGTCCATAGTCCCAACTACTGGAGAGGCCAAGGCTTAATCCCAGGAATAGAAGGCCACACATTGAAATCCCATCTCAAAATAAATAAGTAAGAACAGATGGAAGTAACTAAAGAGTTTTATCATATCCAGGCACAAATAAGAATTTGAAATTACAACTAAGATAGATCACAAAATATAATTAAAACTAAGTAACAAAAACATATAAAAAACGAACAAGCCTGAGTGATGGCACATACTAGTAAACCCAGGGACTTGGGAGACTGAGGTTAGAGGACAGCAAGTTCCAGGCCAGCCCCAGACTAATTGTCATAGTTTCATAGTTTTTATTTTAAACTAAGAGGACAGTCCAAACACTTAAGTTTTACTATATTTTTTAAATCTACAAAAGCATCAAGTTAAAATATATATATATATTTCTCTAGAGGCCATGGAGAGAATTATAGCTTCCATAGATACGTCACAGCAGATAACAGGTATATTCTGATAAGTAATGTGAATACATTTTTCTAACTAGATTCCTATGTTTATTCATTCAATAAAAAATTTGCAGTGTCTGGTGTGAATATACTATGTATACAACCAGAGATATGAAAAATTGTGCTCTTTATGTGTAATAAGAATTGTAATGCATTCCGCTGTCATATATAAATTAAAAATTTTTTTTTTAAATTTGCAGTGTCAAAATCTCTCTCTCTCTCTCTCCCTCCCCCTTACTAGGTGCTTAACCAGAGATAAAATCAGAGAAGGGCCTATCCTGCTCTCAAAAAGAGATAAACCAGAACATAAATACCAACAGTACAAGGTAGAAAGTGTAAGCACTGAGAGAGATAAGCAGATAAAGCAATACAGGATCTCAGAGGGAGTTGTTACTACCTCACAGAAACACAACCTTTTCAATCTGTTTAAAGCAATTTCATAACTGTTAACTCCCTTTAGGCGCATAACAGCCGCCCATAGATAGATAAATGGTTTCCTAATATTAGAGATAAGGAAACTGAAGCACAGAGAAGTTGATATGTTCGAAAACGTCAGTTACAAGAAGAATCAGAAATTAATATTACATTTTCTCCGGGGGAGTAGTTCAATATATGGCATATCTTTTGTAGAAGTTAAGAGTATTTTGGTATTTAACTAATCATTTCCTAGTACGACTATTTTACATGTAAATACATATACATACACATACCTTGATTTTCATTAACCGCTGGGCTTAAGGCAAGACAAGCAACTGGAAACTATAAATATGAAAGTAAACTTCCAGTGGATTTTAATAGAATGAAAAAATTAGATTTCTCTCTAGCAATTTGTGGTTAATTCTTCTGTAATTTTTACCTATGTATAAATAAGATTCTAAAATAGGTCTGATCCTGAGTCCAGGCAAGTGCAAGCTGGTTTATCCAATAAGTTATCTTTATGAAAGTATACATCAAAATATTTCCATGAAACTACTAAAACTTAAATACTGTCATGCCATCAAATTTTCAGTGACCCAGAATCATCGCAGTTATTGATCAGAATATACTGAAGGAAGGAAGGAATATGTATAGGCATTTTAAAATCCCAGACCTGTTGCTCTCTGCACACAGTCACGTTCAGCCAGCCTCCCATCATTGCCTCCCGAGGGGGCACACAAGAATTGTAAATTTCAATATAATTAGGACATAATTAAGAAAGCAAACCTGATGCAGGTGAATATACTAATCCCAAAGATTAGAATGCCCCATACCCCTACTCTCCAAGGTTAATTCTGTTGAAGAGGCACCGTAGCAATGAAACTCTTGACATTTCCTAGGCAAATACTTCTCATAAATACCATTTATTCCCATCTATTCCTTTAATCCACGACTACTCCTGGTCTAGGTAATTCGAAGAATTCAATCACCTCTCCATTAAAGCTGATTTCTCCATTATACTTTTTCCAAATCCTTCATCTGGCACACGAAAACACCAACAATAAACGGCGGAAGGTATAGGGTTCGGATCTTTGCCAGCTCCACCACTACCCACCCTTCGCCATTACAGCCCGAAGTGGTCAGGTTAGAAAGGTGAACTACTCGGCTCCTTCACGTACTCGTCCAACGCTGTCACCCTCCCTAACCCTTCCACACTCCCAAGACGGCCACTAACTCCGCCTAAGAGTGAGCCCAGGCCCGCCACCTGCGCGGGCCCCACCCGGGGAACCCTTGGCCATCGCGTCCCCCCTCCGCCAACCCTGCAGGCTCCGCTCGCCCCTTCCCCACAGGACATGTCGGGGTCGGCCCCGGCCCGGCCGCAGCCCATTCTTCTTCCAAACTCCAGAAGCCTCCACTCGCCTAGCCCGAGCCCTCCGCCGCGCTCGACTCGCCCCTGGGTGGCCAAAGAGAAGGGGCCGGCAGCTGGGACGGGACCCGACCTAGCGGGGCCCGCGACGCCCTTCCCCAGGACGAAAAGCTGCCCCCAAGGCCGGTGCCCTGAGAGTCCTCGGAAGCCCCGGGGCGAGAAGGGGCCCGGAGGCCGGCGCTGCGGGCGCCGGGGCCTACTCACCGGGAGCTGGCAGAGCGTGGGAGCCGGCGCGTCCCCCGGCCTAAGGAGCAGGACGCGGCCCCGGCGCGCGGCCCTACGCCGGGACCTCGCTCGGCGCGGCGAGCCAGACACTCACTCCAGCCGCTGCCGCCGCCGCTGCTGCTGCTTCGCCACCTTGGCCGCCATCTTGACTCAACCCCTCTCCCTGCCCCCCCCCCCCAGCCCAGCGGCCGCGGCTAAGGCGGCTCCGGCGCCGGCTCCTCCTCCTTCCGGAGGGCTTAGAGACCGACTCCCTCCGCTGGCGGAGCGCCTTTCTTACTTCGGCGGAGCTTCCTGGGTCGCGCAGCTCCGGACTCCTTCTGGTTTCGCCTCAGTGTGGCGGCAGCGGTCCCCCCCAAACACAAATAGGCCGGGGCAGCGTCGCCCCCAACGGGACCCAGCGCTGCTGCCATGGCGCACCCGGCCTGAGGAGCCTGCCGCGAGCCGGCCCGCTCCGGAGCGCTCGGGGGCTACCTCCCGGCGTGGGAAAGGGCAGGGCGCCCGTCTATGCCTCGGGTCCTGCTACCCCCCTCTACGGCACGGCTGGATGGCGACGGCCTCCACTGCCCGGGGCTGCAAAGACAGAATCCGGGTCCACGTGGCACGCCGACTTACCCGATACTTTAGCACCAAGCCCTCACCGAAATGCGAAATGCCGGGCGAGGCCAATTTGCCCATCACATCGCTCTGGAATCTAACTCCGAAGAGGAGTTAGGGCCCTCGAGACTCAGGAAGTGCACACTCCCCCCCACTGACTCTTCTAGTGAAATTACTGGCCAGTTCCCCGTGACCGCATACTTTTCCTTTAGTAAAATCACCATTCACATCCCAAAATTGAAAAGGGAACGCAAAGTTAAGGTATTTTGCCGTTTCGGAAAACATTCATCCGGATAACGGGGCTAAACCATATAATTAGAAAAGCCCCTGGTGCCTGTCATCTCAGTGACTCCCAAGGCTGAGGCAGGAGGATCCCAAGGTCCAGGCCAGCCTGGGTGACTAAGTGAGCCCCTCAACAATTTAGCGAGACCCTTTTCAAAACAACAACAATAAAATGTTTAGGGCTAGGGATGTATTTCAGTGGTAAAGTTCCTCTGGGCTCCACCCATACTATCCGCCTCCCATCTCCCCTCCCCGAAAAAGAAATGGGTTAGAAAATGATGAATTAAAAAGAGGCGAGAAGTCTGCTTGCAAAACGTGGGAACTTTCTGTTATGGTGACACATGCCAGTAATTCCAGCGATTTGGGAGGATGAGGCAAAAGGATCATAAATCCAAGGCCGGCCTCAACAATTTAGCAAGAACCTGTTTGAATATAAAAAAATTAAAAGCCTGGCCATGTAACTTAGTAGTAAAGTGCCTCAGGGTTCAGTCCTGGGTCCCCTCCACCCACCAACACCCCCGCCAAAAAATAACCCACAAGATGTGGAAGTTTATTTTCAAATGCTTTTCCTTAAACACATTATATTGTGAGGCAGGACAAGGGTATTAAATTGGACGGCAGGGTTTGGGTCAGCTCTGAAACCTAGCAGGCACCAGACTTCGTGTACAAAAGATGGAGAGAAGGTTGGGGATTTAGTTCAGCGGCAGTGCGCTTGCCCTGAGTTTGGTCCTCGGCCCTGAAAGAAAAATAAAGATGGAGAGAGCACAGTATGCTGAGAAGCTTCAGTGTCAGAAGACAAATCCTACTTTTGAGTCGCAAAGATGCACTCAAACGCGGAACGCGGAACGGAATTTCAGTGGGTGCGGTTTTCCTGCCGGAGTCAGGGTCAACTGCAGCCTTCCCAATTGCACAGGCGCAGTGCCACTTACCCAGCATGGAAGCGTTGTGTCTCGGCTGTGTGTTGGCGGCGGTTCTAACGTGGGGTTTTCTCTGCTTTTGGGACTCTGCAGAACGAATGAAGACTGCGGAGCAAGCAGGCCTGTTGAAATCCGGAAGCCGAACCCTTCTCGTGATCGCGCACCCCGATGATGAAGCCATGTTCTTTGCTCCCACAGTGCTAGGTTTGGCACGCCTGAAGCACCGGATGTCCCTGCTCTGCTTCTCTGCAGGTAGGAGGCCTTAAGTGATCGCTGGGAGCCTGGGCTGTGAGGGATTTGGGTACTAGTCAACCTCAATATACTCCTTCCCGAAGGGTTTTCAATTGTAGGGAGCTAAATGAATACACCGAAGGTCTTTCCTTTGAACTCCTTCCAGGCTGACAGGGAGCAGCTGGCCTCCCAGGTGAGTTTGGGGGATGTCTGCAGCTTGCATACTCCACTCTCCGCTGGCAGGATTGAGGAGAGGAAAGGGAGTTTCTCACCATTGGTTCCACTCAGTGCCAGAATTTTCATTGGGAACTGGGACTGTATTAGTTATTTTGGAACCTTTCATTTGCAGAAGGGTCAAGAACAGTGATATTACTATGTAGTACAGCAAAAACAATTTATTCTGTATGGTGCCTGTTCAGTCCTTAAAATTTCGCTTCTAATAATAGCAAAGGACCTTCTGCATGTTGAATCCGTATTGTGCTACAAAGTTGCATGTGTCAAACTGGAGGAGGGACTCAGATAAATAGTAATTTTGTAGATAATTTTAGAGTTCATCTCCACCCAACTTTCCGTGAAAGAGCCATTCAACGAATAGGGCTAGTATTCTGATTCAGAAAACATCAAATGAGAAAAAAAAAAAAGTGACCGTGGTGCTTAATCATGACCATAATTGCACAGCTGTGTAAATGAAGTAATCGAGCTGTATACAATGTGTGGATTTTATAGTATGTCAAATTATATCTCAATAAATCAGTTGTTTTTAGTTGCTCATAACCTCTTTTCCTATTTGGTTGTGTTATTTCAATCCTTTCTATACAAATTTCACAGAAATCACATTTAATACAATTGTATTCTTTTCACTTAACATTTCTTTTTCACTTACCTAGCATATGTTAAACATTTATGGTACCCACTTGAATCTAATGTATGAAATATGATATGTCAAGAGCTTTGTAATGTTTTGAACAACCAATAAAAAAAATACAGAAAAAAAAAAAAAAACAACATTTATGGTAGGCCTATTCTATCTGTCTCATCCAGCTCCATGTCTAAAATTGACTGTTTTAAGGCTTTGCATATAATTTGAATTCCCTAAGGCATACCAGTTTTACATTCTGAGTGGTAGTAATGAAGGGTATCTCTCTTACTATATTACCCTCTCTAGCACTGACCAGTATTTTTTATAAATTTCTTAGTTTTTTCCCCCGAAATTTATCGTTTGTTATCAATAAGATTAAATCATCTTTATTATTTGTTGAGAATTTGGATCTAAGCACTTTTTTCTCTCTTAATGTGAAAGATATTATTTACAAATAGTTGCAAGTAACAGCCTGATTTTTTTCTTTGCTTTCAATCTTATTTATATTTCATACTACAACTATGGGAGTCAAATATAGGCAAGTTTTTGTTTCAAGATCTACAAGAGAAGCCTGGATTTTATTTGCAAAATATTGTAGATGCAGTGTGATCTTTAATAAAGTTCTTATTTTTATAAAAAGGCTCATAAAAATTTAGTACCAGAAACCCAAATTTTTCCTGCCTCATTTTCTGTCGTTTGTTTTGCTGCTGGGGTTCAAACCCAGAGCCTCAAACATGTTGGGCAAACACTCTACCATTGAGCTGAACCCCCAGCCTCCCAGGCTTTTGTTTGTTGTTGTTGTTTGTTCTAATTAGTTATATATGGCAGTAGAATGCATTTTGACACATAGTACACAAATGGAGCATAACTTCTCATTCCTCTGGCTGTAAGTGGTGCTGAATCCCACCAGGAGTGTAATCATACATGTATATAGGGTAATAATGTCCATCTCATTTTACCATTTTTCCCATCCCCACTGCCCCATCCCTCCCATCACTCCCCTCTGCACAATCCAAAGTGCATTCATTCTTCCCTATCTGCCCCCCCTTACTGTGGATCAGCATCTGCTTATAGGAGAAAAGTTTCAGCTTTTGGTTTTAGGGGATTGGCTTATTTCACTTAGCATTATATTCTCTCCATCCATTTACTAGCAAATGCCGTAATTTCATTCTTCTTTAAGGCTGAGTAATATTCCACTGTGTATTTATATCACATTTTATTTATCCATTCATCTGTTGAAGGGCATCTAGGTTGGTTCCACAGTTTAGCTATTGTGAATTGAGCTGCTATAAACATTGATGTGGCTGTGTCACTGTATATGCTGATTTGAAGTCCTTTAGATATAAACTGAGGAGTTGGGTAGCTGGGTCAAATGGTGGTTCCATTCCAAGTTTTCTGAGGAATCTCCATACTTTTTTCCAAAGTGGTTGTATCAATTTGCAGTCCCACCAGCAATGAATGAGTGTATCTTTTTTCCCTCATCCTCGCCATTACTTATTGTTTGTATTCTTGATTATGTGCCATTCTGGCTAGAGTGAGATGAACTCTTAGAGTAGTTTTGATTTGCCTTTCTCTAATTCCAGCCTCCCAGGTTTCCCCCAACCCCTAATAAAAATTGTAATCCCAGCTATTTGGGACACTGAGGCAGGAGGATCTCAAATTCCAGCCCAATCTGGACAACTTAGAGAGACCCTGCCTCAAAATAAAAAAATACAAAGGGCTGAGAATGTAGCTCAGGGTAGAACACTTTCCTAGCCTATGCAAAGTCCTGGCTTCAATCCATAAAAGAGAGAAGAAAAGAGAAAAAAAATTTGAGCATATACTTAGCAGCCAGCATTTTTTAAATTTATTTTTTATTTATCTTTTTAATTTATAGATGGATACGATGCCTTTATTTTTTATGTAGTGCTGAGGATCAAACCCAGTGCCTCACATGTACTAGGCATGTCTTTCATTATTTCCTCTGAATCTAAATTATGATTTTAAATTGTTCTATCTTGGATTTAGTTGAGCACAGTGGTGCGCACACTGAGCTACAACCCAACCCCAGCAGTCAGCATTTTTGTTGTTGTCTTTCATTATTTCCTGTGGAATCTAAATTATCATTTTAAATTGTTCTATCTTGGATTTTTAAAATTATATTTTAAATCCCAACTCATTCAAAAACATGTATGGAACATTTTTCACACTCCTGACTTAACATTCTGATGTACAAAACAGGACACTGATAATTTATGACACAGTATAATGAAAGCTATGATGATGTAATGGAGAAAGTACTATGGGTACAAAATATAAAAATGCATTAATTCTCTTTGAGGAGACTAGATTAAGGAAAGCTTCTCCAAATAGGTTTTCTTTTGAGCTAGTCTTTCAAAATAATAGTAGGTTACCTATGACACAGAGTAGGTTATTCTAGACAGTAGTAAAGACATCAGTAAGTCCTGAACTTGTATAAATAATTCATTCTAACTAGATCCCCAGGTTAGGGAGAAGGGAGAAGCAGGGGAAAAGATAATTTTTTTTTGTTACTAATGCCTCTTTTAATCCTGTCAGTAATCCTATGAAGAAGATAATACTATTATTCCCATTTTACAATTGTAGCAACTAAATCACAAGAGTTTAAGTAACAACCAGAGTAGCTACAACAGAGACCCAGGTCTCTGTAGCTTTTGTTGTTGTTGTTGTTCTAAACCATTATACCCAATCTGCCTCTTGTATTGCTTTGCATGCCATGTCAGTTATAAAATATCTGTATTGATTCCCAGTGTACATTTTTTAAGCTTTATTTTGTTTATTTTGATGTGGTGCTGAGAATTTCTGCTATTTAAAAAAAAAAAATACTTTGGCCTGACAATTTAAGGGAACTTAGCCAGATGTGCTATCCCCCATTTAGAAGTTTGCATCCTTATGAGAATATAGACATCATTGAGAAGTCTTACTATTAAAATAAAAAAAGATCTAGTTGGGCACAGTGGTGCACACCTGTAATCCCAGCGGCTTGGGCAACTCATGCAGGAAGACCACAGGTTCAAAGTCAGCCTCAGCAACTTGGCAAGGCCCTGAGAAACGTAGTTAAATCCTGTCTCAAAGTAAAATATAAAAAGGATTGGGGATGTGGCTCAGTGGTTAAGTGCCCCTGAGTTCAATCCCTGGTACAAAAAAAAAAAAAAAAAATTTAATTTTGTTTAATCCAGCATTTCCCAAATTTATGTAACCACCAAAATGCCTGCTAATATGCACATCCAATAATAGGACATCACTGATAAGTTTTGATGCGGAATTAATATAATCAATTCTCTGTTTTAAAAAGCTTATTCCAGGGCTGGGGCTGTAGCTCAGTGGTAGAGCGCTTGCTTTGCACATGTGAGATACTGGGTTCGATCCTCAGCACCACATAAAAATAAAGATATTGTGTCATCTACAATTTAAAAATATTAAAAGAAAAAAAAACTTATTCTAGCTGGGCACAGTAGTGCACACCTGTAATCTCAGCGGCTGGGGAGGCTGGGGCAAGAATGATTTTGATTTCACAACTGGCCTCAGAAATTTAGCGAGGCTCTAAGCAACTCAATGGGACCCTGTCTCTAAATAAAATAGAGAAAGGTCTGGGGATGTGGCTCGGTGGTTAAGTAACCCCAGTACCAAAAAAAAAAAAAAAAAGCTTTTTCTAGGGCCTGTGGTTTTAACTCAGTTATAGAGCACTTGCCTACCGAGCACTATGTTCGATCCTCAGCACCACATTAAAAAAAATAAAAATAAAAGGTATTGTGTCTATCTACAACTAAAAAATAAATAAATAAACAAGCTTATTCTAGTCTGGCACGGTAGTGGAGCAGGCTGTAATCCCAGCAGCTGGGGAGGCTGAAGAGGAGGATGAAGAGTTCAAAGATAGCCTCAGTAATTTGGCAAGGAGGCCCTAAGCAACTTACTGAGACCCTGTCTCAAAAAATAGAAAGGGCTGGGGATGTGACTCAGTGATCAAGGTGCCCCTGGGTTCAATCCCTGATACAAAAAAAAAAATCTCATTCTGATGGCAATGTGGAAAAGGTTTGAAAGGAAAGATTATAGTCAAGAATACCAATTCAGCCATCATTTCCTCTCTAGATTGCAACTGCAGACTCAAACATCAGATTCCCTTGTATTTCTGGTCTATGTGCTG